TCCTGTGTACAGGAGCCATCAGACGCTGCCGGTAAAGTGTCGATTTGTTACGTGTCCGTTCTACGCCCATTTTCTGGCGATTCGTGTTCATGCTAATGGCTCCTGCCCACAGGACGCGGTAATGTTTGCCGCGCGGCGGAAATTCGCGCGACAGCCAATCAATATGCTGCTTTCCGTAATAACCTTCTAGCTCTTACGGAAAAACAACATATTGATTGGCTATCACGCGGACTTTCGCCGCGCGGCAAGCATTACCGCGTCCTGTGTGCAGGAGCCATAAGTGCATAATTGCGTGATTGAAAACATAGACTGCCCATGTTCTTAAAGGCCATCACACACAAAATTCCGTAAGAACTTAAATCGTAAGCGTAAAGAAATCGACCAATCCCAATCGAGTATTCGGCTCTTCGTAACACCTCCATTATTACGAAGAGCCGAATACTCGATTGGGATTGGTCGATTTCTTTACGCTTACGATTTAAGTTCTTACAGAATTTTGTGTGTGATGGCCTTAACCACGCAATTATGCGCTTAACACGGACACGAATCGCCAGAAAATGGGCGTAAAACAGACATGAAACAAATCGACACTTTACCGGCAACGTCTGAAAATGGACGTAGGGAATGTAGTCCACCTAAAAAATGGTTACAAATGGCGCATCGAACAGCGTGAAAGTCGGTGTCGGCGAAAACGTATGGCGTGACCGCTTTCAAGTTTCTCTCTGAAGGGACGTCTACATTGGAAGTAAATAGCAAGAAGTAGGAAGTAAGAATAAAGGGACGTCTACATTGGAAGTAAGCAGTAAGAAGTAGGAAGTAAGAATAAGAAATTAACCAATCATAATTGATTATTCTTCTCACATTCGACTGTGGTTGGTCAATTTCTTACTCTTACTTCCTACTTCTTGCTATTTACTTCCAATGTAGACGTCCCTTAAGAAATTGACCAACCACAGTCGAATGTGAGAAGAATAAATAACTATGATTGGTCAATTTCTTATTCTTACTTTCTACTTCTTACTGTTTACTTCCAATGTAGACGTCCCTTAATGCTATCATGCATTTTGGAACAATGGCTGCGTTCAGCAGAGAAAGCTACTTTGCAACTGTTGTAAAATTCGTGAATCTGATTGGTACATGCTCTTGGATTTAACCAAAATTAAGAGCATACTCCAATCAGATTCATGAATTTTACAACAATTGCAAAGCAGCTTTCTCTGCTGAACGCAACCAATGTTCACAGTGTTGTTAGCACTGGCAATAATTTTGGAACACAGCCTTAATGCGGGAGCGTTCCGATTGACCACGATATGAGTGCGTTTCCACTTAGCGCGTCACACGTCGCGTCATCCAATCCCAATCGTCTCATTTTATTGCGTAACTTTATGCCGAATAAAATGGGACGATTTGATTGGCTTAACTTGGATGACGCGTGCGTGACGCGCTAAGTGAGAACGCATCCATACGATTGGACACAACCAACCGATGCAAAGATTATCTAGTGAATTATCAGGTCGAACCAATTATTACAATCTGTGTCCAATCGTATCGTGGTCAATCGGGTCCCATCCCCTTTAAACATTTTTTAAATACTTTTAGAAATACTACAATGTTAATGAGTGAATGGTTTATCAAAAGGAGTTTACTGAACTTCTCGTCAACTAATCAGAAAAAGGAGAACTACAATGTTAATAATTTTACAGTCATTTCTAATAATTTTTATATTTCCTTAACTTAAATGAAATTGTAATATCGTTGGCATCAGCCTAAACCAACCCCCTAAAGCGCCACTTTATGCCAAATTTTTTCTCATTACGCTAAAATCAAGCTCCAAAACAAAAATTTTGTACGGCAATTCGGCATGTCAAAAAGTCACTTTGACGGAATTATGCCAGATCTGGCAATTCTCTGGGACAAAGTTGAGGACAAGTTGACAAAATGCTGGTAGATTTCAAAATTATGTCTACGTGCGTTTTTTACGTATTATCTACATGATGTATAAGTTCCTTTCTAAACAATATAAACTATACAGAATATTGTAAATTATATTAAAACATATAAAAAGTATATAATTAAATTTTAAGATGGTTATCAGATAGTTATTTGCTCTGGATATTAATTATAAATGCAATGCTCACAAAAGTTAATGAGTTACATGAAATTTTCATCTCATTATGTGACAAAATGATAGATTTCACTGTAAAAATAAGAATGTACTTGGGAAGTTCTGTAAACTCTAATTTGTTTAGAAAACAACATTTATTATAAATTTACATTAGGATTGTAAAGGTCCAATAAAAATACAAACTTTTCTTAATTTCTAATTCATGTGTGAGAGCAAACCATACATTTTTTACACAACATCCATAGATTACTAATTGTCTACACAGATGATATATCCTACATTTACAATTTTACACTTACTACACATAGCTATAAAGAATACCATAATTTATATGTAAATGCCCAATTCTACTGAGGGGCTACAGGCACATTAGATACAGAAAAAAAAACTTGGAAACAGACATCACTAATTAGTTTGTGATATATACTTTCAAGTGTCACAGTTTCCTGAGTTCCTATAATTATGAATTTTTAAACTAAACATGTGTTGAGATACTCGTACATTAATAATGTTAGTAAATAAATATGTATTATAATGTAAGTTACAAAAAAAGTGAAAAAAGTGATTTAAATAATATTTTTCACTCATAATTTAAATGAATAAAGTGCGCTTATTTTTATTTTATTCTATGTCTACATAAATGTCTACATAAATGTTACATTTACATTTCTAGGCTCAACATTTGTGTTTTTATATGTAAAACTGCACTTCCAAAATTCTTCCAAAAAGTTTTGTACTGATCAAAATGTAACAATTTCTCTTAAGTATTTATCTATGTATAAATTTGAGTTTTTTCTTACTTATTCATTAATACATTAAATAAACATCTTACTGTCAATGTTAAGATTTCAGTCATTAATAATATAAAAAAGATGCAAAACAAATATTCCTATTATCATGGGATAAATTTTATGACTTTTGAGTTGAGTAAATCTTTTTTCATATCACAAAAGAAATGCTATGGTAAATCCTATAATGAACACATATGAAAAGATATGTAGCTTGCCAAATTAAACCTTACATTCGTATTTTATTTATATTATGCAAAATACATTTAAAATATGTGATTAGTACTGACATAATAGCTTTAACATTTATTAAATCTAGTTCTAAACAAATTTCTCAATTACATGCTATATACTCACATATTCATACATCATACTGTTATCTTGAGGAAACAGCTCAATTTGGAATAATTAACAGTTGTAATGCAAGAAAATATATATATATATATATATATATATATATATATATATATATATAACATATAATTCAGAAATTTATTTGAAACTAGACCCAACAAATATTGTTAAGATTATTATACCAAACTGTGTACTGAAATTATGTCTTATATCTTAAAAATGTTATAAAACGTTATGGCTAATATTATTTTTTTTCTTAAAAGAATATCCCGAGTAAATTTCTCATAATTACTTTACAAGAATTCCTCACACCAATCAGTCAAACATTGATAGCAATCTGTGGACTGCTTTGCATTTGCTGAACATGCATCTTTCATCCATTCTTGAAACAATTCTTTGTTCTTCTTTAGTACTAAGTATTGTCCTAGTACTACATATGCCTATATAACAGAATGCATATTGTTAATAAATATTCAACTAGAAAGAAAATTATTAAACTATTAAAATTATATAGTACATTATATATGTTGCTTACTTTATCAAAGCCAGCAGATTCTAATCTTTTTCCTAAAACTTCTCCAACACCAGCAAGTTCAGTCACTGGTTTATCTCCCATTGGTTCTGCCACAAAGTTTCTGTGTTTTTGTGATGTGGTAGACATTTTGATCTGCAAACATGAAAATCCCAAATTTTAGTGTTAAACTTACTTATTAAGCAAAAATACGATTTGTTCATTGTTCATTTCAAAGTTTACTACATATGTATAAACTTACATTACAGCTTTATAACCTCGAAATAATCGGTTTGTTTTTCGTTCCGGCACTGCTGAACTGGTGCAATAAACTTAAGGTCTGTTCTTTGTAGCTGCACTGCTGAATTGGTGCAATATATTGAAGTGAGACAAATATATGTTTTCTCACTCTAACTTATTGCACTAGTTCAGTAGTGCAGCTATAAAGAACAGGCCTCTTGAGCGAGAAAAAATATACTTGTCTCCAACTTATTGCACCAGTTAAGCAGTGCAGGAACAGAAAACAGACCCAATAAAATGCTTATCGTTCGAAATCTATAATCTTCATCAAAATATTTCACATAAATTGCATCAGTAGGTAAAACGAGTTACAAAACTACGAATAGCATAAATATCGGGTGTATATCAGTTGGACACGGGGCAATTGGACACAGTCCAATCACAAGTCGTTGTTCCAAGGGACCCTACAAATGTCTCTAATCACACGGTGCTGTGATTGGCTGTGTCCAAATGCACCGTGTCCAAGTGCACCGCTCCCTAAATATCATAAGTAAACGGAATCAATTTCAAATTGAAACGGTACATAAAAATAGGAAAATTACCTGTGAAAGTCGCCCTCGCTTATATCGCAACGTGTCAAAGACTGAGTCCAGCCGAATCTCGTTAAACATAAATTTATTTAAGGATTCCTGTTTCCGTTTCCGGTATGATTAGATAACTGACAACTGGTTACTAATTGCTGATTTACTACTAATTTAGGCGGTCTCGATTTCCGCCCTAAAGGCCAAATCACACCAGCGATCGGCAATTGATGATTGACGATTGAAAATTGCAACTTGACCAATTGGAACAAAGCAAGCCAAGGTTGAAGCTCGTTGATTCATCAAAATCTAATCTTCAATCGTTAATCGTCAATCGTCAATTGCTAGTGTGATTTGGCCTTAACACCATTTGTACAGATAACTGGCACGTTAAGGATGTATCTGAGATATAATCGGTGACAAAAGTGCTTGAAAAACAAAAAATTTGAATATCTGCTTCACACGTGTTGTAAATCTAGTGATAAGTGATATAAATAGTGACTAACATAATATATTTCTTATTTAAAAAGTTATTTTTTACTTTCTTAACAATTTATTACTTTTATTTGCTTTTTTCACCTTTCTATAATAAAACTTTTAGCAGGGAAAATGCCCTGAACTTTAGAACATTAAATTTCGTATTTATTTAACATCAATATCCATCAGTGCAAAGAAGAAAAAATAATTGGGATAAATTAAAACAGGTAAATATGCATTGTCTGAACAATAACTATCAATATTATTTGTTGTTATTATAAATATTTAATGAAAAAAGTTAAACGTAGCAACAGCGGGGAGCGGTGCACTTGGACACGGTGCATTTGGACACAGCCAATCACAGCACCGTGTGATTAGAGACATTTGTAGGGTCCCTTGGAACAGCGACTTGTGATTGGACTGTGTCCAATTGCCCCGTGTCCAACTGATATACACCCGCAACAGCGTACCATGTAGTTTGTGGCTTAATGTGGCCACGTTGATTCTTGGACCGTAAGAAGAATCAATGACTGTGATTGGTCAATTTGCTTGCTGCTACGTCTTATGGCTCCTGCACATAGGACGCGGTAATGCTTGTAGCGTGGCGGAAGTTCGCACGACAACCAATCAATATGCTGCTTTCCGTAATAACCTTCTAGCTCTTACGGAAAAACAACATATTGATTGGCTGTCGCATGAATTTCCGCTGCGCGGTAAGCATTACCGCATTCTGTGTGCAGCCATTACGGGTGTATATCAGTTGGACACGGGGCAATTGGACACAGTCCAATCACAAGTCGCTGTTCCAAGGGACCCTACAAATGTCTCTAATCACACGGTGCTGTGATTGGCTGTGTCCAAATGCACCGCTCCCAGCCATTACTGCTTAAATTTTTCTGTGTGTCACGGCCCTTAAAGAGTTAATACTGAAGAGGAGAAGGGGTTCGTTATAGAAGGAAGAGAGGAAGTGAGGGGATGTTGGAGATGTTTAAGAGGAAGAGGGAGAAAGAGGAGGAAGAACGGGGAAGGGAAGAGGAGGAGGAAGATAGGGAAGAGGAAGTGGTTTTTTTTTTTATAAATTTATTTAAACGTATGTACAACGTTGTTTTCTTACACAAACGTGACGTATAACGATCGATTAGCAGTGATTCATGAATTCGGTAAAATTCAAAAGTGCATCAAGTACTTATTAAGTATAGAATGCAGTGTTGAATAGAACGTCAAACAAGTCACTTTTCCCAACTATACTAATGGCGCAACTACAGTTGAATGCCAATATTCTTACAACGCGAATCAAAATGCCAACATTTTGTTAATTCGATTAGCAACTGATAAATAAATTATCTTTTTATCGATGGAAAGTATTTGTAAAAATTTTTAAATTTATTTATAGAACGAGAAATCTGATAATTCCGTTAACCATTTCTATACGAAAATCTAAAATTGTAAAATAGAACTTGATCTATTTATGCAAATGAATTATATATCAAGTTTGTTTTTTTTATGAATCTTATCTTCGTTATTTATAACACATAATTTAAAATTATTCAAATTACTTTGGATAAAAGAAAGGTTAAAAGAAATTAACGAGAAATTAACATTAAATGTTATTTAAAAAATATTTTTAACTTTAATCTCTAAAAAACCATATTTTTCGCCAGAGTAGTTGCAATGGCAGAAAACCTTTCCTCTTTTGTAATACTGGATGGAAAATATCAAAATCTACTTTCCTTAGTTCCTCTAAATAATTCTCCACACAAACTCTTGGCAAGAATATCGTGTTGAGATCTTTTCCCGCTGTTTTCTTAAGCGACATTGCCTAAAACAAAAAAGAAATCATGTATCTAAAAAATATCCAATTTTAATTTTAATAATCCGAGTTTTTAAATATTCAAATATATATAACTTAGAGAATATATTCAGGTTTTGAAAATGAAATAAAATATTTTTTCCTAGAGCTTAAATACAGCTTCTCACTGTTAAAAATATATGAATATAATGAGATAGCACAGATAGAGGTACAATTCAACTGTTATATCTATGTAACTGTCTTAGGACTAGTTGTCCCAACTTCTTGCTAAGCTACCTAATAATTAAATCATATATTTGTCTTTGTAATTTGAAGAAAAAATGAAGATAAACATATGATTTAACATGATAAACATATGATTTAACTGACAGGTAGCTTAACAAGAGATTGGAACAATCGGCCCATAGAGTTCAATAACTCGAGCAAGTACCATTTTCAAATGTCGATTTGCACAAGAGGCAACGTCGAATATCACGTCTTTGAATCCGGCACTCAGCTGTCTTCGGAATACCGACTCTGAGGAGACGCCGTTTTTCAGTAGGATGTCTTGTGGTAGCACCATGACTCGTTTGTGGGCGTTATATGGCACGGAACGTATCAGGGTGACTAAACCGTGTGCCTTGCCAAAATGACTGGCCGCATGATCGGCGTTTACATTCGTTATGCCTTGGGCTTCTAACAGTAAATAATATAACGACGACACAGTATCATCGCAGTACCTTTCGAGCGACTCTAAATCTACGAATATCGAATTGTTTAGTTTCTTTAAACGAGCGTCGATTAGACGTTTGAAATAACGCTTGGACAATTTGTGCCGCTGAAGAATCTGCAAAAGAATGAAAAAAATCTGCATAAGATGCAAAAGAACTATAACTCCTAACACAGATTCCAGTGAGTCAGTAAGTATACAACAACATTACAGCAGCAGCCTGAAGCCAGTTTAGCGGCATATCCTCAGTCTATATTTACACAACTGGTGTAAAATTGACTTAATACTTACCACATAGGGTTGGATAAGTTAATTGTTTTTAAACCAAGTCAAATATATTATTCAAAGTTAATAACTTATAAATTTAATTTAGTTAAGCTAAATGTTGCATAAATAAAAACTAATTTAATTAATAGTTCAGTTAAAATTAATTTAAAGTTAAAAGTTGATTATATAAAGCAATATGTTTTGTGCATAATTAACTTTTCAATGGTATATTAAATTTGTGTAAAATCACAATAAAGTAGTATTTTATGAGAAAAATATCGACTATTTTGTACTTAGGATTCTATACAAAAACACTGGTGCTCAGAAAGATAAAAAAGTTCTGCTGGCAATATTTTTGACTTTTCATGTTTTGTATTGTAAACAAACTGCAATGATTTTAATACTGATAAATTATTTAAATTTACATAAAAAAATAAACAAATTAATATAACTTAAAGTAACTAATTTAAGAATTTATTAATTTAAATTTAAAAATGAATTGAATTTAGTTAAAGTTATTAACTTCTCTCTCTTAACTTTAAACTAGTTAACTAGTTATTACTCAATTGTTACCAACTGTAATTACTCAATAATTATCAATATTGCAGCTATTTAATAGTGTTACATGTGTGTGTGTGTGTGTGTGTGTACACATACACACACACATACATAAACAATTATATCATAATTCTATAAGTACTAGTAAACTAGATTTAAGTTGCTATATAAACATAATCAGTGTTACGAGCTACATGATCATCTACCCTGTGTAATTCCATTGCTACTGGACTCCTGGGTGGATGATCATTATAAATGTTGTTTAATGTGTCAGTCCAAAATTGCAGTCTCATAGCTCCAATTTTATTGTCTTTTACTTGATCCTCCACTTGAGCCACTTCAACATTAAATGCACGTATTGCAAAAGCTGCTGATCTGATATTATGCGGGAGTAATAATGTACACAGAAAGTTCTCATAGTCGCTGTTCCTAAAAAAAGCACATGTCTTAGCATGATTTTGAGTTATTTCTACCACGCAGGAGAGTTTGTAAAATATGTCAGTGTGTTGCGTCAATAAAATATTAAAAAGTTGATATATTAATAATGTAACACTATTAACCTCATATTTCCAATGTCTGTTCTCTTATATAATAAAAAAAAAACTGTTAACCCATTAAAGGCCATAATTATTTTTTTCAGTTTTAATAAAAGGATCAGTATGTTTATTTCCTAGAGGTCTTAGATTGATATTGGAAGTATTTTTATTGAGGTCATAGATACAACTGTGGGAATTATAGGTGCTGAAAATAAAAATAAAATTACATTCAACAAAAAACATCTCATAAATGAGATACTGGCCACTAATGAGTTAAAAATACATTATATGATATAATGATGTTTATTCATTTTATCAATCTAGTGTAGTAGAAACAAATACCTAACTAGCTGCAAACAATACTCTGGTGGTGTTTGCCTTTGTTTTGTTGACGTGCTCATACGTTGCAGTTGCAAACGCATAATTTGTTTAATTAACGGCGAAAGTTTATTCATTGTTAGAGCTGGAGTATCTTTATTGCATAAGATTTAATTTAAACAATCATTTGATTGTTGTAATGAAAATAGCATAACAAATGAGGAAATTTATCGTCGTAACACGAACAATATATTGTTACAATTAATTATATAAATATTTTCGAACAGTTTATGACAGAAATAACTAATAAACGCTTGTGTCTAAAATCTGTATGCTCTTTGATCTTGCACATTGATTGTGCACTTTAACTCAGGGCCTCCAAACTCCTATGTATTTTGGTTAGGCGACAATTTCCCGAAAAGTGGAAGGGATAATGTTGGTACCAAGAAAAATCTCTACACGATATAATGGCTGCGTTCCGAAATGCACTGCTAGTATTGAAAATCTATAGTTTATGTTACGTATATTATAAAATTTCAGTACTGGTAGTGAATTTCGGAGCCAATTTAGTCCCGATCTACAGTAAGTTTTAAGCTTTAAGAAATTGACCAATCATAGTCGAATTATAGAAGAATAATCAATCGTGATTGATTAATTTCTTACGGCTTAAAGCTTACTGTACCTATTGTAGATCGGAACTTAAAGGTCTGGGCCTTTATAGCACAGTATATAGCACTTGACAGCTTGATAGCGGTCATATTCAATTACACATTTTCACAAAAACTAGATGGAAAAATGTTGGTACCGACAAAACCTCTAGGCAACACAATTTTAAGGTTTGTTCGCGTCGCACGTCCCAACGTGCTCCTACTCGCTCCAACGTACTCTGATTGGTCCGCGTGGTGACGTTGAGCGTTGGTGCGTTGGAGCGAGTAGGAGCACGTTGGGACATGCGACGCGACAAACATATAATTTCTGCGGATTAGTGACAGTTTGTTATTTGACACACACACGCATATGTCAAAACGACTCCAGAAAATTCGTGGACTTGCTACTTCAATAGTGTCACTAATTCGCAGAAATTAGAATTGTTGCCTAGGGGTTTTTGTTAGTAACACCATTTTCCCATTTAGTTTTCGAAAAAATGTCGTGAAATCCCATATTTTTTTCTATACGATAGAATGAGAAATCACTAGGGGCAGATCAACTTTCTCACTCTGTTTTAAACTGCCAATTTCCAGCTTCACTCGCTGCTACAGCAGAAGTATAGGAATGTTTGGTCGGGAGCGGTGCACTTGGACACGGTGCATTTGGACACAGCCAATCACAGCACCGTGTGATTAGAGACATTTGTAGGGTCCCTTGGAACAGCGACTTGTGATTGAACTGTGTCCAATTGCCCCGTGTCCAACTGATATATACCTTGTTTGGTCTATGGCCGGTATTCATATAGTCGAGTCTTATTTCAAGACCGTCTTAAGTAATGTCTTAAGATGCGAATACGGCTCTGTGATTGGTTCATGACATCTTAAAACAATACTTGAGATGATCTTAAATATAAGATCAGATTATGAATACCGGCCTATATATGTCACTTTTAATCATCAAAAATGGCCGCGACGAAGATTTTACCTTACCGCGCTAATTTCACACCCCGCACCCATAAAAATACTTTACGCTCCGTCCAGATATTCCTTCGTCCATGGTTTGCACCCTGAGAAAACGTAAAGGCCAAATCACACTAACGATAGGCGATTGACGATTGACAATTAAAAATTAGATTTTAACGAATCAACAAGCTTCAGCCTTGGTTTGCTTTGTTCCAATTGGTCAAGTTCCAATCTTCAATCGTCAATCATCTATCGCCAATCGTTAGTGTGATTTGGCCTATAGATGATTGACGATTAAAGATTGGAACTTGATCAATTGGAACAAAGCAAGCCAAGGCTGAAGCTTGTTGATTCGTTAAAATCTAATCTTTAATTGTCAATCGTCAATCGCCAATCGCTAGTATGATTTGACTTTAAGGTTTGTTCGCGTCGCATGCCCCAACATGGTGACGTGGCCAATCAGAGTGCGTTGGAGCGAGTAAGAGCACGTTGGGGCATGCAACGCGAACAAACCTGTATATTTGTCTCACTTCAATATATTGCAGTTAGTAATGGCGTAGAGCCACTCACAGGAAAAGTGTGCTTAGCCAAATATTGAAACTGAAACTGAATATATTGCAGTTTAGCAGTGCAGCTACAAAGAACAGGCCGTAGCTGGAAAGCACCCATCGTGTAGAGATTTTCCTTAATACCAACATTATCCCCTCCACTTTTCAGGAAATTTTCGCCTAACCCTTTATTCTAATTTCACGCTTCAGTCGTGAAAACAAACATGGACAAAATTGCTATAATATTTCGTACAATACGTAATCACGGTGGAATATGGAATTCCTTGAAAACATTATACAGGTTAATGTTATACGTTACTAATATATTATATTAGTAACATAACGAATAATGTTTACTAATTTTTTCACTACTTATAGTATTGTGTAATCCACTCCTTATTTGATTTGCAATATATCTTAATTTTAAAAAGCAATTTTATCAGTTTTAAGTTTTATAAGAAACACTACTTATATAGAAATTCTAAATGTTAATTGAATTCTCAGTAATTATATGCAGTTTTGATATTCAATTCATTAGGGTGGATGAATTGAAGAGTGGTACTTTGATTGGAGAAGATAAATATGGGAATCGATACTATGAGGATAACAGACACTTTATGGGTAAGTTGATTATTATTAATACAAATCATTTTTAGTATGGGTCATAATGTTTATAGCTATCAGATGCTATTGTTGATATTATGTATCTCTTTAATATTTACAATATTATATTATTTGTAAACATTTAGAATTTCCACAAATGTTTCAAGAAAATATATAAATAATAACATAATATTTATTTTATACTAGGTCGTAACAGATGGGTTATATATGCTGATAGAGTTGGGATGAATTATGATGGTTCTCAAGTCCCACCAGAATGGTTCGGCTGGCTGCACTATAAAACAGATTTGCCACCATATAAAGATCCGTCTCGGCCAAAATATAAATGGATGATGGATCATCAGCAGAATATGAGTGGCACAAATCAAGCATATATGCCCTACAGCACTACAAGACCAAAAATTGAGTCTTGGCGTCCACCACAATAATAGTCTTTGTCCAAATGGTAGTGCAACATACAAAATAAAATGGTTTGTTTGTAATTGTAACAAAATATTATTCAATGTAAATAATATAATGATATCAATGTAAAGAAATTACATCTATTTAAGAACACAAACACTTCTATTGCTTTTCTTTCTTTGCTACATCAATATAACAATGTTCTAGTATAAATTGCAACATAATAACAGTAAATATTTAATCAATATTTTGAACTCTGGAGATATTGTATATGAAGTAGTGAGAATGACATCTATTTATACATTTTTTTTATATTTAACTTAAAAGACTCCAATACTTTATTATGTTGATCTATTTTCTTGTACATCTTTCATACATTGTTTCAAGTAACTGATTCGTTTTACAAGCTTATCTTGTATACTAAAATTCTTGTACGAAATTGTTAAAAGATCATATCCCTGGGCTTTTAACAGCTGTGTTTGTAAATATATTGATCCCAGGAGGTCATCTTGTCCTCGACAATAATCATGATAATCATGCACCATTATTCCTATCCTGAAATATCAGCGATTATTAAATTTATATCTAAGTCTCAATATCTTAAAGTTAATATTCTCTAATTCGAAAACTTTAAAGATTGATTTTTCAATAGAAGATTTTTAAACATAGACTCTTAAGTTTAAACTATTTTAACAATGTATATATGTTGATATATTTAGAGCTTAAACTTAAATTTAAGGGATAATTCACATCTTGGTAGAAAAGCAGAAGCTAATCAGAACTCGTGCTAGTAAGTAGAACATTCTGTAGAAACTGTTGACTACCAGTACGAGTTCTGATTGACTTCTATCTTTCTACTTTTCTGCCAAAATATGTATTCTCCGTAAGTTTAAGATGCTGTTAAGAAATCGGCTCTAAAAGTTTCATTAAACTATAGATTGTTTCATGATATATAACAATTTAAATAGTATTTAGTTTCTTCCCAGTCATACTTCTGACATACCTTCTCACATCTTTAGCTTGTTTATTCCAATTTTCTTTTGATATGGGATTAAGTTGATCATCTATACGATACTCAGCATCTAGACGAATAGAAACAATGTTACTTGTTCACCAAAATATATAGACACAAGAAAGACAGAATACATATATAGACATAGACAGAATGTAGATATCTACTTTCTGAAACTTACTTCAAAATGCACTGTTAAAAACAATTACCTAATAAAAACCCCATATTTGTATCGATATCCGTTTTAAAGTGAGATGGTGATGGAAGCAATGTTTTCAGTGTCTCTGACAATGCATTTATGTACACTTGCTTTCCTTTTGCTCTAATTAAGGATATATCCTTAAACTCTTCAGAATATTTATTTAAAAGTGGTCCTGTAATTTTAAAATACGATGCGTGAAATTATTGAATATATACAATATAATTTTTCATTTCCAAATACCTTTATAATCTTTCAGTGCAAACTGCGCGAAGGCATTGATATTTAATAATTTTAATTTTTTCGACATATTCAACTTAGTAGAATCTGTAAGTCATAATGATTAAATTAATATTATTGATACACTGAAGTGGAATAATGGATAAAATTATGATTCGACAATAGATACAAACCATTCAGCATCGTTATAAATAAAGGTTTCAACACGGATTCTACATGCTGCTGCTGCACAAAGCCCAAGACAGTTAAAGACCAAACAATGTCCAACCATTCTGTCAAGTTTGCACTAAGCGGATCCATTAGTTGCATGAAATTCTGATGAGTAAGAAATAATTAATAAAATGCCTATAAAAGAGATTTCAGGGGGGCGTTTAATCTTTAGACCGCCGGAAAACCTAAATATAGGCGCGAGCCATGATTGAAACTTTATATACGATATATCTATGATATAAGGTACAACTTTAGGTGACTTTCTTCGGAAGTTCGAACACTTGAAACTCCGGCGGTCTAAAGATATTTTATGAAACATCATAATGTCTCTTTACGTACCTCGATAAAAGCGCTCACTTTCTGTGACTTATACTGCAGAGCCGCAAATGTTTGTAGAATTGACGAGTAATCTTGCAATTTGTAACTTATCGATTTATTGAAGAGCGTGTCGCAGAATATGTCGAGTACATCTTCATTCTTGTAGTGCAGGAATCCCAGCGAAGTTATAATAGATTTATTTGTAACAGCATTTATGTTTTTTGGTATACATTGCAGCAAGTCAGCCATGATTTTTTCTAATAGTGCCTATTACATTATTCATCATGTGAACAATCATGATTTATTATTACATCATATATAGATAATTAATATTATGTATTACTGATATATGTACACAAATATACACCTACCTTATCTAAAAAATTCAATACAGCCATACTATACAACAAAGTTGCGCACTGCTTCACATTTAATTTCATGTTATATTTGATAATATTATATGACAACAATCTTAATAATGGTGTGTTCCTCTTTCCTTGTTCGCTCAAAGAAGCTATCATCTTAAAAAAAAACAATCTTTTGTAAATGTCAGTTTGTTAATTTTTTTTGTTAAAATTCAATTATGTTAATTGTTACATGCAATTAATAGGCCATTCACTTTATTTGCATTTATTATAACTATTGTACTTACAGTAATCATTGCAGGTGTGGACAATTGAGTATACTGTGACAGATCATCACTAAATGATGTTCCTGTGTTAAGTTTTATCTGATTATTGGCCCTAATTATTTTCTTAAGATGTATAAACCTTTGGTCGGCTTCAATATTCACTGCTTTTGATTTCTCACTGTTTATTTTACTGTTTATTTCCGTTATAAGCTTCAGTGCATTAGATGTAGACAAATTTGATAACATTGCCATGTCTAACAAGTCATCTACAGACTTGGCAGCTAGAAAAGTTACAGTAAACTTGTCATTTACAGTATTTTCAGATAAATTGATATTTGTCTGAGAATCTATCTTGTCAAATTTATGCTGTTCTTTTTTCTGTAAGACATTCTGTTGTATCTTAGAGTACTTGGAACTTTTATCTTCCTGAAAGTAGATCAAACTATTAATAATTGTCAAAGAATCACCTAAATGACAAAATGCAAACAAAATTAAGTTTTCGTATTAAAAGTTTATACACGACGTGAAAAGTAGAATTGTTAATTCACTTTACCTTTATAAGTGTAGTAGGTTGTTTACTGATGATTGCTGTGCTGAAGTTGTTGGCTATGAGAGCAGTGAAACGCCAGGATGAGCGCGGTGTAAGTCTGGCGGTTACAGAATAGAGAGTTGCGCTAAATTGCAGCATTATAATTAGTCTGCAAAACTATTATTTATATAATCCTCGACGAAGGTCGGGATCAGTTGCGTGCTGTCACTTCCTGTAACGTTAATTCGCGACGTTCGCACGTATTTACCGCGACTGGCGCGATATGTGCAATTTACGTTATGAACAAATATAGAAGAAAAAAGGAGTGTTATTGAGAAAAAGTCGATGTTATTACAAATTATTCTTAACCATCAGGAACACATCTTTAGGTTAAGTGATCACCATACACTCGACCATAGACAAAAGTTGTAGATGAGAAAGGATACGGTAATGTCATATTTAGCCGTTCTAGTTTACATTGAAAATCTGAACGTGACTCATACTACGACACTCGAGATAAAGATTTATATTTAATATTATTTATATTTTAATCACGTTTTTTTTAATTTCAATTTTAAATACATGTTTTTCAATTTGTATATAATTATATTTAGTAATATGACAAGAATGTGTAATATATAAAATTACATTTATAAGATATATAATACATAATTAGGTTTAGGATAATCATAATTTAAGGCCAATTATTCCATCCTCTTGGCAAGCTAGTTAACAGTTAAATCATGTGTCTGTCTCTGTCTAATTTGAAAAAAAGCAAAGCAGATATATAATTTGGTTGCTTTCCAACAAGAGACACAAGTCGACACAAGTATCATCCTATCTTTGTTACTCATTAAATGTCGAACAAAGATAGAATGATGTTTGTGTCGACTTGTCTCTTGTTGGAAAGTAACCTTTAATTGTCAAGTAGCTTACCAAGAGATTGGAATAATCGGTCCTTAATATATGAATCTTATGAAATCATACAAATATGGAGATAATTATGATATAACGTAAATATCATATGTTAATCTAAAAAAAAATGAAATAAATCGAGGATGAAAAGAATCGAAAGAACTCTTGGAAATTTCAATTCTCTATTGAAGTCATCGGGTCTGTTTTCTATTGCTGAACTGGCTGCATTAGTTCTTTTATCTTTCTTCCACTAAATTTTATCTGTATATTTGTCTCTATGTAAATTCCGAAAGTACACTAGTTCAGTAATAGAAAATAGACCATTTATACCAGAATCAAATAGAAAAGAAGTCGATTTTAAAACATCAATAAAGAAAAAAATCTTTCCGATCAAATTGATGTTTTAAATTATCGAATTTGAATCGAATGTCTTTTTTTAAAATCTGCTATCTTAACATTGATAACATATTTCCCAAACGTATATCTAGTTCAATGATAAAAAACAAACCTATAGAAACATAGAAGGAAAGGACACGTGAGGACACGTGACTCATGCGATCATATAAAAGTGAATATCGCGCACATTATACTTGAAGTATCATAGATATTTTGATGCGTGGCAGGTATTTTCAAAAGTTAATTCGAAATATATTACCTGATCATGTGTTCCACGAAAACTCCACGCATTCTTTCAATCCAGAGTCACGTAGTATCAGGATATGTTGGTAATAAAAGCGCAACTTTTCCATTACAGGTAAGTTCCATGAAAAAATACAAATATATTTTACGTGTCTAAGGTTCTTCTATCAATTATCAATTTGCTATTTTACAAAATATATTCTTTAATGTTCTCCAATTAGAAAATTTGTTAATATTTACTTTTGATTACATACTGTGTAAATGTAAGATAGTTTAAAAAATAATCGTACAAAAACAATTTTATATAAAGTAATTATATAACTTGAAAGATCAATTCTTCTTATCACAGTTGTTAGGCTTTGAAGTTGATGCAATTAATTCTGTACAACTATCTAATCATACTGGCTATAAAGTGTTTAAGGGTCAAATACTTAATGATAAAGATCTAGGTAAGATATAAAAGTATTTTTTTGATGATATAAAAGAAGTATATGATGTGCACAAATAATGTTCAGTGATAAAGCATTTCATAAAAATAATTTTCTTAGATGATGTAGTTGAAGGTCTAGCACAGAATAATTTGGATAGATATACATATTTACTAACTGGATATGTTGGTTCAGCTTCTTTCCTAAAAAGAATAGCGATATTAGTTACAGCATTGAAATGTAAAAATCCAAATCTTATATATGGTAAGTTTTAATCTAATTTTTCTTTTCAATATATCAAAGTCCTATTTTAAGGTTAATATTTATATATGTTCTATGTGATCTCTCTCTTATACTCTAGTTTGTGATCCTGTTATGGGTGATAATGGAAAGCTGTATGTCCCAGAAGCACTAAAGGAAATTTATAAGAACGAAATAATACCATTGGCAGATGTGTTAACACCAAATCAATTCGAGTTAGAGTATGTATGATACTAATGTTTATTGTATCATTGCTTTTTATGCTATAATCTTCAATATGTTGACAATTATTGCAATACTGTCAGCAATATTTAGACATTAACCATTATCTTTTACTAAATTCTCTTTGTCAATTTATAATTATTATGTATTATTTTTATTTATTTTTCCAGGTTATTGACAGATAAAAAAATTACTAATATGGATGAACTGAAAGATACATTAAAGAAATTACATCAAATTGGGCCACAAACCATAGCTATATCCTCAACTGAATTTAACAAGAGCAAATTAACAGCAGTAGTTAGTGTAGCGAAAGGTAGATTATGTACAAGATAGCCTTCATTTTTCAACAACTTGAAATTTATTGAAATTACCTTTTTTAGATGACACATTGGTTAAGATAGATATTCCAAAAATACCAGCGACTTTCACAGGCTCTGGAGATCTTTTTGCTGCATTATTCCTTGCTCACATACACTTACAAAATGACATTAAAACTACTATGGAAAAAACTGTAAACACTCTGTACAGTGTATTACTTAATACTTATCAGAATTCAAAAAGTAAATTCTTTTATTTTATTTATATATGTATAAATTTATATAAAATATGAAAAATAGGTCACATAATTAAATAATCAATTTTTTGCAGCATATGCTGATGATGAAGCACAACCAGCTAGAAAGATTGAGTTACAACTTGTACAAAGCAAAAACAATATTGAAAATCCTGAAATTCGTTTATTTGCAGAAATTCTTTGATATACAACAGATTAAGTAATGAAAGCTTTTAGATGTTGATTATAGATATAGATGATGCTGATATAGATTTTATAGATATGTTGTATGAAATGTATATAAAATATTTACGGCATTTAACTAAACTGTGTGCTTGTTAAGTCATACATCAGCATATTAACGTGACAAAAGGATATATTTATTCAAAAATCAAGTATTAAAAACAACCAATGTATTTGTCTTCCAGAATATACAAGAAACACTAAGGTTTTATTAACTTATATATTTTTCACGCAAGGCATATCGAGATGTGAATGTTAAGTATCATAGTATCACAGGTTTTAAGAGAGATACAAAGTATACGTTATGTATAGATAAAATGACATTTTATTTATATGACTTGTATTTATATTCCCGTTTTTCAGCACTTTCTTTCGCGATAGTCCTTTAATTTCAAACGGGGTACAATGTTCATAGATTGTAACTCGTGAAGCAACAGTTTACATGCGTAAGGCATCATAACAGAGGATATATTGGAGTTAGAACGGCAACTTTGGCACCAACCATTGTAGCCCATCAGTCCGCAGTTATTACAGACATCGACTTTAACGCCGTCGCTCGACAACATAAGCCTCTCTATCAACAACATGCTGGCACCATAAGCGACCAGACAGTCGCGCTCCATCTCGCCAAAACGTAAACCACCATCCTTAGAACGACCCTCTGTCGGCTGTCGAGTCATCACTACCCTTGGTCCTCTGGCACGAGCGTGTATTTTGTCTTGCACCATGTGCTTCAATCTTTGATAATAAACCTGTAAATCAAATGTCATATATTCGAGCACGACATTATAACACGACTATATTCATTCATGTCTGTGAATAAGTCATTGTGGAAAAATCATTAATTTTAAATTTGTTTCTCACTAACTGAACATTTTGCAGTGATACATATCGTTATCATTCATTAGAGAAAAAATGGAGAAGAAACGTGCGTTGACTAATTTTACTCACTTGTATAAAAAACCCTTAATTAAAAAGATATTTAAATGAAAGAACACTTCAGATCGCTTGAGCATATTTGTAGAATGCTTCAAAAATTATCATTTTCCCTCTACAATCAATAACTGTAGAATTAATGTGTCAAAATCATGAGAAACAGTAAGATTTCCTTGAAAAGGAAAGTTGCATGTTACGTTAATTTTATGGCTATTTATTGACTGTTAAAGGAAAAGGATAATTTTCGGAGTATTTTGCAAGTATGTTCAAGCGATCTCAAGTATTCATAAATATCATTTTATTTGGAAATATGCAAGAATTTTGGGCATGCGTTTTCTGGTGGTATCAATGTAACGAGGAACTAGGAATCTTAAATGATTTTATCTAACAAACTTACAATTCCAGTATAAATATATGCTTCTAACGGTTCCCCGGTCATGCCGCTGTAGAAACAATCTTTACCTAAGTAGTTGTAACCATGCTTCTGCATTTCTTCAGCGAGATCTTTCACTTTAGAGCCGCCAAACGCTGCAGGCGAAATTTACATGGTGAAATTAAAAGCATTATCAGATCTTACCTCTATTTAGTATTTTTTCGCGAAATATACCTGTTGCGTCCTGGAATTCACCGTTCATAGTGCCCACTTTACCCGCGAGTATCTCTATCAATTTACCGACTGTCATTCTGGATGGAAAACCATGTGGATTCATAATAATATCTGGGACCATGCCTTGATCATTGAACGGTAGGTCTTCTGGGTCTACGATTGAACCTGGGTAAACATTATCGAGATATCAGACTTATATTACAAAATAAACATTTTGTTCTCCACAAGAAATACATTATACACTCTAAAAAGTTATGTGTTAAGGTTGTGATGGTCTGTGTACAAAAATATTCAGAATGATCATACCAATAACACCTTTCTGTCCATGACGACTACTAAGTTTATCACCAATTTCGGGTCTTCGAGTTTGCCGCAGCAACACTTTTATCAAGAAGGAATCGTCCGCGTTGCTGGTTAACAGAGATTGCTCTACGTATGCCGGTTCCAAACCCTTGTAGTAGACTTCTGCGTCGCGATATTGCGGTTTTACTGGAGCATCGCCAGTGTTCACCGGATCGATAGATTGCGATGGCACTGATTTGTTCACCAGTACCTATATATATAAATATATATATATAAGTACTGGTAAAATATATATAATTAATTTTTAAATTAACCAGCGATTTTTCTTTAATCTAATTTATCTAATTACAATATAAGTTAATCTACATCCTACGGTATTAAATTTGGTTAATGCACTTCTTCATTGTGCTAATCTAAATCGAATGTTGTAGTTTGTTTAAGTCTTCTCTTTATTTTACTATTGTGTGTCAAGGAGTCTCAATGCCTCTTCATTTATATGTTTATGAAGTATAATATGGCGATAATAACTTTTGTCTAGGTGGAAGTACTTCAGAGATATCAAGGTCACCTTCATTTTTTTAATGGAATCGATATATTTTGTTTCCATCATATGATAGAAGGACTCAAAACAAATTCAAAACATATAACACAAGATCATTGAACAAGATTAAAAATAAAAAAGCGATAAAAAAAAAGTACGGATACAACGTGCACGATTGACTGATTTTCATTTCATTTTATTTTATTATTAATTTGTCCTGAGAACTTGCTAAGATGAGAAATGCTAAGATGTCTTTCAATAGTGTTTATTTTCCATTGAAATGATACCATCTCAATGAAGGTAGATACTTCAAGGAAAGAAAACAAATACTTTGAAGAACATCTTAATATGTTCACAGGATATCATAAATATGAACATGAACATATTATTATCGATAGAACAGTCCATTGTGCAAGATGTATCCATTTGAAGAATAATCTTAGCCATCTTAGCATGTTCTCAGGACAAACTAATAATAAAATAAAATAAAATAAAAATACAATGAAAATCAGTCAATCGTGCACGTTGTATCCATACATTTTTTATCGCTTTTTTTTACTTTTAATCTTGTTCAATAATCTTGTGTTATATGTTTTGAACTAGTTTTGAGCCTTTCTATCATATGATGAAAACAAAATATATCGATTCCATTTAAAAAAATGAAGGTGACCTTAATATCTCTGAAATATTTAAGGTAGTAATAATTAAATATCTCAAATACGAGATACTTGCTTTCTTATCATCCGCTCTTTCGCCGGGCATTGCAATCCCGTCAGCGTCCAGGATATCGTGTTTCCATGCAACCTTGTTCGTATTGCTGTCCAGCGCAGGGCCCATGATTCTATCGTATGTTTGGTTAGGATACCTTTTCAAGACAGCTTTCGTACTCCGATATACCAAGCACCTTCCATATCCTCTATCAAGGGCTGCTTTGTTGACTACTAGCGCATCCTCGATATCGTACCCACTGTACGACATGATAGCTACGATTGCGTTCTCGCCAGCTGGCAATTCGTTGAATTTGATCATTTCGGATGTCTTCGTCTTTACTATAGGCCTTTGCGGATTTACCAGATTGTACATCACCGTGTCCATGCGTTTACGCTGATTATATCCTATGGTGCCCGCAGCCTGTCTACCCATAGCGCATTGATAAGTATTCCTCGGACTTTGATTATGATGTGGATACGGAATCAGACCGGCGCACACTCCCAGAATAGTGAATGTCTCGATCTCCATGTGCGTAGTTGCGGCTTCGATGTTATCTACGTCGAGCGCGATAAGAGTGTCGTTCTCTTCATTCACATCCAAGTATTCGATCAGACCTACGACAAATACGAAAAAAAGAAAGATATATCACGACGATTGCAGAAGGTAAGTACAAGCGCGTTCCGAATCGTCACTAACCCATCTTCACGAAATCCTCGAACTTCAGAATATTTCGCTTAAACAATTGCATATGTTCTGGCGTGACATTGGGCCGTCCGTTCTGCACGATGAAATACGGTCTGCACAATCGTCCGCCGTCGGTGCTGATGTGGACGCATCTGTGACTTTCCTGCAGGTATATCGACACGTAACTGCTGATGCGGCCTTGTCTGCGAAACGCCCTCAGGTGGGACACTAATCTCTCGTGATGCTTTGTGATGCCCTGAATAACACCGTTCAGGAGAACCAACCATATCTCTTTGTTGTTGATGTCTTCTCCGCCAAATATATTGATATTCTGCACATTGAGACAGGATAGTATCCGTACGATATGATCCTCCGGCTCGTCCGTTGTGATATGAGCCATCAGAGCGAGATTCTTCACCAAACCACAGGATTCTCCCTCGGGCGTGTCGCACGGGCACAGCATGCCCCATTGCGACAAATGTAACGAACGCGGCCCAGACACTTGCCTGGTCTTCTCAAACTGGGAATGGACTCGCGTCATCATGCCGATTGCAGATATATAAGACAAACGTGACAACACTTGCGTCGCACCTTGTCTCTCCATTTTGAACCTCTTGATCTTCCAATTACCGGTTGATATGGCGAAGATTAAGCCGTTAGTGATCTGATCTTGTCGCATATGCTTGACTATGTCGAACTGCGCCGCCTTGATTCTCGGGATATTTTTGTCGGCGATGTTCTTCAGATCCCAATTAAATCGTTTAAACAGATCCTCGAACATCAGAGAGAGGAGTGACCCAGCCACTTCCAGACGTTTGTTTCCCACGAAATCTCTATCGTCGAGAAGCTTTTTGTCGAATTGCGCCATAATCACTTTTCTCACCATGAAGGCCAAATGGATCGTTTTCAATTTGAAACTGAAATTTTTGATTGGTACATGCGACAACACGTTTGTCGCTAGTACATCTTTCATCTCGTTTGCATTAAAAATTCTAGGTTGCGTTCGCTTGTTATTAAGATATATCAGCGCTTGAGTCTGTGTGAAGATATTCAAATCCTCGCATTCTCGCAGGCTCCACTCAAATTTACTTTGATATTCATGCTCATGGCCGATCAGCATCATTATCTCCTGATCGCTCTGTATGCCCATAGCTTTGAAAATTACAGTTACCAATATATCATCCTGGAAAATATTGTGCTTCATGTAATATCTACCAGATTTCCCGTAGATACTGGTCTTAGTCTTTCTTTCGTGAGTGGAGCTGTTGCAATAAGCAACGATGTTTCCTTTATTATCTTCTTCCAAAAGTATTCTATTCCGAACCATTTGTTCCTGTATTAAAATGATTTTCTCTTGTCCTTTTATGATAAAATAACCGCCAGGATCGTGAGGACATTCATCTTTTTTCGATAACGGAGTTGTCATACCAGTTAATCTACAATTCGCACTGCGCAACATAATTGGCATTCTGCAAATTAATTATCACATGTATAACACTTGTATTATCATCATGTCTCTATCCTATCTTTTTCACACAATTATTACTCACCTTCCAATTACTATGTTATTTTTTATTATTGGTTGGTTACTCCTTATATATTCTATATCTACTATAATAGGTGCAGCATAAGTTAAATCTCTCAGGCGACATTCATGCGGGTAAAGTTTACGAATATCATTATGAGCTTCATCAAGTACAGGTTCACCTATACGTATGTCTAAATATCTGGAAAAAAAATTATTTACTCAAGCACATCTCTGCTGTGGGATATTTCATTGCTGTAACCATTAAGCATAATTGTCTCTTTTAAATAATATGTCAGCTATAGATATTACCTTAAATAAAAAAGTGGGTCTGCATCGGTAAATACTTCCTGATTTGCTTTGACAATCTTTTTTATATCTTCACGGATAAAAAAATTGAAGGAATCAATATGATGCTTTACTAGACCTCTACTTTCCAAAAATTTTGGTACTAATTTCCACTTGTCCTAATAATATATAATAATTTCAATTAACCAAAATATAATAGTGTAAGATCATTAGAATTAAGCATAGTGATAGACTTATCGTTTTCATCAAGAAAATCCATTGTTGAATATATAACATACAATTATTTCTCATCAAATTTATTTAATAGGAATTTGGTTGAATATAACCAACGATAATTTGTTTTTAAAAAATTCTTAAAAAAACAACTAAAAATGTATTTCTAAATAAAGAAAAATTTACTCAATTTGTTAGTTCAAGAAATATTCAACAAATATCTCTTATTTTTTAACTGTTTAAATGTATTCTGTCTTAAAATTAAAGCTCCTTAATAATCACCAATAATCCTATCACCTTTTTTTTCTTCAATTTTGCTAACACTTAGAGTTAAAGAAACATTTCAATAACTATGTGAAAGAATATATAGTATGTAAATATTAACATGTATAGATAAAATTAGAAATAATCTCTTACGTATATACCTTGAATTCAGCTTTAAGAATAGAGATATCTTGATTTTGGCCATTCACGTCATCATCCGCATTATTCTCCATCCTGGACTTATGCAAAGTACAAAGACTTGTTGTAAAAGTTATTTAACGATAAAATATAATTTGGTCGTTGAGAATTAATATTTTGTTTACTTATTCACCTCAAATGTGCTTGTACAATTAAACGTACATGCACGTGGTTGCAGTGTTATTTGTTGATTCACTTTTCTCAGCTACCGGTGAGTAGTTTCAGTTTCAGTTTCAATATTTGGCTGAGCACACTTTTCATGTGAGTGGCTCTACGCCGAACAGTGCTTCTATCGTATGTGAGTATTCTGTCCTGTTCTGTTCCGGGGGAAAAGGTTATCCCCATACGCCATAAATCTACCGGTGAGTATAGTCGGGTATGAGTGCGCTAAAACGATTTAGGATGCTATTTCACGTGTCGTACGACAAGCTTTTCGGATACGTTTATTAATTGGCGAATAGAGTATTTCTAGGTTCTCTGTTCGTCAACCAATGAACGTATCCAAAAAGCTTGTCGTACGACACGTGAAATATCAGCCTTAAGCGGGAAGCACACACTCTTCCATAAAGACATAATACACAACGCATAAGAAAATTAACCAATTAGAGTCCTTTGTTTTCATTGTGGCAATAGAGGGTGCTCTCCAATTGCTTAACAATCTTGACACACACGTACACAAAACCAGTTTATTGGTCACATATCATCTAAAATATCTTGTAAGATAATATGCAAGTAATAAACTGGTTTTGTGTAACACAGTGTACGCAACTGGAAAGCACCCAAAAATAAGAACTCTGATTAGTTCATTTTAAATGCTTTCCAATTGCAATATCTCTTGCACTTTCATGCACTTTCGTGCACTTTCATGCACACGCCGACACAAGTTGCATTCCAATTGTCGTAATCGTCAACCCAACACTACACATTCGTACTCAGCTTGAGAGCTACTAGTCGGCTGTGTAAACTAGTGTTTTCTAGTGAAAATTAAAGTTAATAATGGGTGCTTTCCAGTTGCATACAATGTGTTACACAAAAACAGCTTATTTGTTGCATATTATCTTACAAGATATTTTAGATAATATGTGACTAATAAACTGATTTTGTATACGCGTGTGTCAAGATGTGTTAAGCAATTGGAAAGCACCCTATGTCTTCATACAAGAGTGTGTGCTTCCCACTTTATCCCTGGGCTGCGTTCCAAATTCTACACGGTAGAATTTGGGAAGAGTACATTTAATTGACCAATCATGATAAAGAAATCCTAGTTATCTTTGTTCTTATTAATCAATTAAATACTCTATCCGTCGAGTAGAGTTTTAGAACGCAGCCCTGGAGGTTGATCATGAGTTTGATTTCTATTGCTGAACTAGTATACACTTTCGGAACTTAAAAAGAAATAGATATACAGATGAAACCATATATGTAATACTACTATATTGCTAATTGCCTTATGCTGCCTGTAAAGCCCGTATCACACTAGAGATTGGCAATTGATGATTGACGGGAGCGTCCCAGATGCGCACATTGACAAACGGACACAGCCAAACACAACGCTGTATGTGTAGAGATATTCTAAAAACTCTATAAACAACGACATATGATTGGATGTGTCCGTTTGTCAATGTGCGCATTTGGGATTCACTCTGATTGACGATTAGATTTTGACGAATTAACGAGCTTCAACCTTGGCTTGCTTTGTTCCAATTGGTCAAGTTCCAATCTTCAATCATCAATTATCAATCGCCAATCGCTAGTATGATATGAGCTTAAAGCGTGATCTACAATGAAAACTTAAGCCATAAAATTTAAGCTTTAATTTCTAAGCCGTAAGAAATTATTTTTCTTATAATTGACTGTGATTGGTCAACTTTTTACGGCTTAGGATTTAAAGCTTAAATTTTATGGCTTAAGTTCTCATTGTAGACCATACTTAAGGGGAGTCGCACACGAATTGACATAAAGGCTCGTCTACAATTTCTGTAAGAATATGGCTGTAAGGCTGTAAAACGCGAAATAAATTATTTTCATTCGTTGACAGCTCACGTTACAGCCTTACAGCCATATTCTTACAGCTATTGTAGAATGGCCTTAACAATAACGTAAGACGTACCGTAAGGGCTTTCGCATACAAATTGACATAACTGCATATGCATAGCATAAGACCGTATGTACCAATGAGCATCGAGTATTAAGTCGCCATATTGGTGTTCGATGCTTAATATTCGATGCTCATTGGTCCATACAATCTTATGCTATGCATATGCAGTTATGTCAATTTGTATGCGAAAGCCCTTACGGCACGTCTTACGTTATTGTTAAGGCCATTCTACAATAGCTGTAAGAATATGGCTGTAAGGGCTTTCGCATACAAATTGACATAACTGCATATGCATAGCATAAGACCGTATGTACCAATGAGCATCGAGTATTAAGTCGCCATATTGGTGTTCGATGCTTAATATTCGATGCTCATTGGTCCATACAATCTTATGCTATGCATATGCAGTTATGTCAATTTGTATGCGAAAGCCCTTACAGCCATATTCTTACAGCTATTGTAGAATGGCCTTAACAATAACGTAAGACGTACCGTAAGGGCTTTCGCATACAAATTGACATAACTGCATATGCATAGCATAAGATTGTATGGACCAATGAGCATCGAATATTAAGCATCGAACACCAATATGGCGACTTAATACTCGATGCTCATTGGTACATACGGTCTTATGCTATGCATATGCAGTTATGTCAATTTGTGTGCGATAGCCCTAAGAACTGACCAATCACTTTGAGTATCGTCAAAACGTAAGGTAGCCATTTTTGTGAATGCTCGATTGTAATTGGTCCATTTTTATGGTACGTCTTACGTTACTGTTACGTCAATTCGTGTGCGGTGCTCCTAAAGCCCATTCTACATTAGTCGTAATCGCAAGATCGCAAGGAAATTGTATCAATCATAATTGATTATTCTTTGATTGCAAGAAGAACAATCGACTATGATTAGTCAATTTCTTTGCGACCTTGCGATTTGCGACTAATGTAGAATGGGCTTTATGTCGTTATGCAATAATGTGTGCTTCCCGCTTAAATATCTTATATTTTGTTTTTATATATGTATAATTTATGTACTGTCTTTTCTACTATTCGTTTTATATGCTGATTTTAACTTTTTTTTTACAAAAGTAACGGAAAGTAACGATTTTTTATCGTTATTTTTAATAATGGTAACGCGTTACTTTTTAAAATCAGTAACGAGTAACGGTAACGAGTTACTTTTTACCGCAAGTAACGGTAACGGTAACGCGTTACTTTTTAAAATCAGTAACGAGTAACGGTAACGAGTTACTTTTTACCGCAAGTAACGGTAACGGTAACGCGTTACTTTTAAAAAGTAACGTTCCCAACCCTGATATATAGGAAGGAGGCTAAAATTGGGGCAAAAGCAGTTGATTCAGAGAGAAAGAAAGAGAGAGAGAGAGTTTACAATATTTTTTTTAACCAGAAAATTTATAACATATTTATAATATTCGTGGATTGTTGTGTGTGTGTATGTATGTTGTATCACGTATCATCTTAAAATTAAATAAAATCAAATAAAATTAAATTGAAACAATGAGAAGGTTTCTTTCTGATATTTTATTATATGTTCCGTACCTTATACATATTCTGTGTGCAAAAGAAATTAATATGTATCAGCGTAGAATAGTACAAATCATATTATATATACATATATTTAATATATTATTATATATATACAGGGTGTCGCAGAACAATCTACGAAGCTCTCGTGAGAACGTAGAGCGGGTCAAGGTGAATATAAAAGTCCTGTACCGTTTTACGATATTCGTAATAATAACCGATAAATTAATTGCGAAAGATTAAGGAAAAGATCCAGATAGCAAAGTGACGTTAAAAGACGTCATTTAGACGTCTATGATGTCTTAATGACACTTTAATGACGTTTTTAGACGTCATCTTGCTATGTGGGGAGTGTGCTGAATGGTAGAGGACGGACAGTTCTAGTCACAGCGCAGTCCAGTAATATAGCGCGCGGATGTCGCGCGTTAAAATAAACATAAAAGTCCTATACCGTTTTGCGATATTCGTAATAATAATCGAGAAATTAATTGCAAAAAATTAAGGAAAAGCGTGTGCTGAATGGCAGAGGACGGACCGCTATAAAAGTGCCTCTAAAAGAAGCTTAGGAGCCACCTGATTGACTGAGAAGCTACATTTAAGGCATTTTTATCGGGAGGGTCCCGATTGCCGACAGTACGATTGACCACAAATTGTAATGATTGGTTCGATCTGGTAATTCACTAGATAATTCTTATCGTCGATTGGCTTGTATGCAATCGTACTGTAAGCAATCGGGACGCTCCCATTTTTATCGATAAAAGAGGATTCAGGGCAGCGATCACATAACTTTTCCCCTAGGATGGAAAGTGAAAAGTGAAGAGTTTCACGTGAACTCATGATCATGTAACTCGGCGAAATGTGGAAATGTGAAACTTTTCACGTGAATTTTTCGTCATCAAACTTGATGGCGGAAAAGTAAAAATCTAGTGACATGATGAATATGGAATATATTATGCTACTGCTGTGATGAGATACAAGAAACATAACAGTCGTAAGGTTACAGCGATGTTTTTAAGGTTCTACAGCCGATGGATATAGCTGATTTGGCCGATATTGAAATCATATAGGAACCATGTTTAGTGATTTGTGCTTTTCACGCATAAAGTTACTTGATTGCGTGAACAATGAAAAAGTTCACGTGAAATCGATAGAGCAAAAAGTGAAAAGTGAAACGTTCCGCTCGAAGTTACGTAATCGCTGCCCAGAATATGAGCCAATAAAAGTGACACCAAGTTTTATCTTACACAGAAATAACTAGATTTCAATCAGTTGAAATATTATTGTAGATGGGCTTTTAAACTAAGTCGAATATGTTATTAAAAAAATTTATTAGCTTCAAATGATTTAACTCAAAAATAGAGCTATATTAACAATGAATCAGATAAACTTTTGTCAATAACAAGCGGCACATGGCTATTTGCCACATAAAATTTCTTGCAAAGGCATAAAACTAACAGTCGCAATGATGACGTAGCATGACGAAGTAGAAATTATTCCTTTGCGATATCCCGGCATAAGATTGCTGAATATACATTATCCCGTTTACAATATATCTTTACCACTCTGCACAAATTTCAATAAATCTCTTTTTAGACGGTAATAATTTTATTATTTTTACCTATTTGCTTTTCACATATGCCTTTGATAAAAATTATTTTACTATTTTTACTTATTAGGTGAGACGTGGCAAGAATAAGAACACCATCGATCGATATAATAATTACCAGATAAAATGAATTTGACACGTTCTTTCATCAGTTCGCGACATATCGTAAACCTCGCAAATTGTTCTAATAAAATTACGGTGAGATGTGCTTCGCAGTACTATAACAAAATCAACGACGACTTGTTTGGACTGAGTGATGAACAGAAAGAGGTTAGTGTGCTTAGAAAACACGACGGTTTTGCAACCGTTGAGTGATTATCGCTTCTGGAAATCTTTTTTTTTCAATGTAAATTCGTGAAAAGTGAAAATTTGCTGTTTTAGAAATGTTTAAAATATTTACTTTTCATGTATTCACGCTATAAGTATCTCTCTCCCCCTCCCTCCCTCCCTCGTTCATTCTCCTCTCCCTCCCTCGTTCATTCTCCTCTCCCTCTCTTCCTCCCTCTCCCTTTTATTGGATCTGTTTTCTATTGCTGCACTGCTGACCTGGTGCAATAAGTTAGAGTGAGAAAATATATGATTGTCTCACTTTAACTTATTGCACCAGTTCAGTAATGCAGCAACAGAAAACAGACCCATGGTCACTCTCACTTAAGAGTGCGCGGGAGCCACAGACAAATCCAAAGCTGACTTTGGAGACTTTGTGTGGCGAGAATGTGAACTTATATTCTATAGTAGATGTCTATACATCATACACACTAGCCATCAGAGATGGGTAATATTCGCAGCAGAAAAGTATTATGCACAATTCTGCGCATAATATGCATAAAATGTCTATTATGCGCAGAAAACGCGCAGAATATGCAAAAACATGCAGAAAACCCCTGAGACGCACCCATTCTAACCTAAAATATAATTTCTTATTTTAATATACAGGGTGTCCCGCGTAAGACGGACCAAAACAAAAATATAAGTAGAACACATAAAAGTGAACAAAAATTGTATAGGTCATTTTTCAAACAACCACGTAAAATTTCGAGATATTAATTAAAATAGTTGAACAAATTAGAACGCGCGATGCGACAGGCGGGACATACGGTTTGCAGTAGTCGGCGAAGAAAATGGAAGAACGCACACGTACACGGACGCACACACGAATGTATGAAGTTGGCACCCCACTTTTTGAAATTTATAATTTTGAAAGTTGTTCCAGATTGTTCTGACTTTGTACCACATTGTTCCAAAGTGATATTGCTTCATTCGAAACGGTTTTCGAATAAAACAAAAAAAAATGATTTTTTGAGCTGGCACCCCACTTTTCGAAAATCGAACATTCTGATACCGCAATAGATTGTTCTAGTTGTTCCAAACATTGTTCCAAAAGGACAAATCCGTAAGTTGAATTATAAGTCCAAAAAATGAAAAAAATGTTTTTGACCTGGCACCCCATTTTTTGAAAATAAAGCATT